TGACTGGGGAAATGGTTGGGCTACCCCCTGTTGGCTCTGCGGTGCTGGGAGGATGTGGGGGTGGTGGGCTAAGGGTTGGGAGTCCCTGCTGTGGAGCAGCCCAGAGGCCTGAGGAAGGCCCAGGCCTGAGGGGCCCTGCGAGCTTTAGTAGAGCAGGCACCCCAAGTGTGCTCTTTGGAGTGGGGAGCTGCTCCCTGGCTTGCCACTGCCGAAAGACTGTATGTTGGTGGCTGGAAACTGGGCAGGTGGGCCTGGAAGTGGGGAGGCCCCAGGGACAGCTGAGCGTCAGCCAGGCCCATCACCAGTACACAGCTCTCCTCAGACCTCACATGGACCTTGCAGGGGCCCCACCCTGAAGGCCTGCACAGTGTTGACTCCAAATGTTTACAGCCTGAGGGTGACATCTGGGGAAGGACTGTGTCTGGGAAAGGTGGGCAGGCACAGGAGATGGCCATCATCACCCCAGACTGTAGGGCAGAGGTGTTGGGCTCTCCCCAACCAGCCTTAGCCTGCTTACTGGACTCTGAGGTGCCAGCCTGCCCTCCCCACCCCAGGGATGCCTCTGTCCCACCTTTGCACCCTGAGTTGCCCCTGGCCCCAAGCCTGGCCCAGACCTCTTGCTCCCTCTTGACTGAGTGAGGGCACCCTTCTCAGAGCCTCCATCTCCCCACTTGCAAATGAAGGGTTGCATTTTTCAAGCCCTTGTGCTGAGTCAGATAGATAGTGTCTGGACTGGAAAAGAGGGCACGGCCACCACAGGCTGTGGAGAGAAAGTGCTCTGTGATGGATTAATGATGTCTGCCTTGGGCATGGACTGGGAAGGATGTGTTGGTAGGCTACATGCTGGCTTTCCCTGAGACAAGTGCTTTGTAAGGATTCTTCCAGTTGACCACGGACTTGTAAGGACTTGACCATGAGGTAGTGAGTGCTCCTTCTCTGGGTTCCAAGCAGGGCCTGAGTGGCCATAGATCAGGGGTGCTGGTGAGGGTCTTGCCTCTGCTTTTGTGTGCTGAGAGAGGGGCTATTTGTGTCCTATCACCATGTGGCATTGCAGGGACCCTGAGGACTGAGGCTAGGAATACAGTGTCATGTCCACAATCTGGCCTTGGGGCCTGGACGAGATAAAGAGATGGGGAGTTGAGTTCTCTTCAACCCCCCACCCTAGGTACTCACTTATGAAAGGCTATGTGACCCTGGGTAAATGACTCAAGCTTTCTGAGCTTCAGTTTCCTCACCCAGAAAGTCAAAAGAAGCGATCACATGAGCTGTTTGAGCTCTTAGTGCCTGGCAGGTAGTAAGTGCCTGACAAATACTAATCACTCTGTTCACACCTCTGAAGGGGTCCTGCCACCTGGGAAGCCTCCCAGGGAGGGAGACATTGAGCGCCTCCCCAGTGACCCCTCTATTGACCCAACTAGTCAGTGCTTTCTTGGCTTCACCCCGGTCTCCTCTCAGATGCTGCAGAAACCTGAGGCCCAGAGCCTCAGGGGACCTGGCAGAGGGTGGCCCACTCCATCCGGAGGCACCTCCTGATGACTCGGCCCCACCGGTAGTCATGTGTTAGCTGCCTGCCTAAAAGCTCCCAGCCCAGTCCCTGTTGGTACACTGAGCCTTCTGGGTGCCAGAGCCTCTGTGTGTGGGTGCTGTGGCCGGCGGGCATGCCGGCTCTGGAGACGCTGGGATCAGGACAGGTTTGCCTCCCCTTGGGGGTCTCTGGGTCCAGCCCACTGGGGGTGCCTCACACCCCACCTGCACTGTTGTAGTCACCTGTCCCGGCTCAGGTGGGAGATCCCAGTGCCTCCCCTTCCCCTCCTAGCAACATCTAGGATCCCCGCTGGTCAACCTGGGCTTCCAACTGCTGTGGTATTAACTATTGTCTTTATTATGTATCTCATCCTGGCCCACGAGGTGTTTTGTGACCGGAACAATTCTCAGTCTCAGTTTTCCCACTTATAAAATGGAGAGCAAGCCTCCTAGCTTGCTAAGGCCTCTTCCAGCAAAGCAAATCTAGCTTCCTGTCTGTCTAATCTAACCATATGCACCCGTTGAGCAGGAGCCAGACAGGCCTGTACTTCCCTTGTTGAGGATATTGTCCCACTTTTCTTTTTTTTTTTTTGGCCATGCCCTGCAACTTTTGGGATGTTAGTTCCCAGACCAGAGACGGGATCCAACTCAGGTCCCCTGCAGTGGAAGTGCAGAATCCTAGCCACTAGACTGCCAGGGACATCCCCCACATTTCTTAAACCAAGCCCTTAAAGACCAAGGAGCCCTGCACTCTTGCCTTCTGTGTATGGAGGGTCCCTGGATATTTGGCAAGTTTGTGGTGCCAGGGCTCCTACTGTGGGTCCTTTTTTCAGCTGTTCTTTGTGGTGGTGTGTTCACCAAGTGCCTGCGAGGACTCCCCACACCCCTGGCATCTCAGGCACACATGTGCACACAGAGCTGTCTGCTGTGTCTCTGCGCCTTGGCTTCCGGGGGTCTTTGCCTGGGTGACTTTGCTCCAAGTACCAGTTTCTAGCTCTGAATAGTGGGGGAGTGGCTGTGAAGGTGGCCTGTGGATTTTCTCTATGGTTTTAGGAGAAACATCAATAGAATAGGTCTGGGTGGGGCATAGGCACCCAGCCCAGGCAGAGATGCCAGTGGTCACTGTGACACCCGCCACCTGCCTGGTAGCTGGCCAAGTCACAGACTCCATGTGAGGCTGCCCAGCTGCTGGGAACAGTCGTGCCAGTTTGGGCTCTCCTGGCCTTTGATTCTTTTGATTCTGTCCCCATTACAGGCCTCAAGCTGCTCAGAGCCTTACCCGAAGCAGCTGTGATCTGCTGGACATCCCACAAGTCCTCCTGGCCACACAGACCTGCCCCTTGCAATCTGGTGGCATGCTGCCAGCTTCTGGTCACCTCCACTTGGAAGGCCCAGGAATCTTGGGCTGGGCTGTCTTCCAGGCACAGTCCCTGGGGTACCCCCACCACCAGTTCCTTGCCTGCTGGCCCAGGCAGAAGCAGTGCCCACCATTATAGCCTCAGGCCTCAGCTCCTCAGACCCAGGGTGAGGTAGTCAGCTGGAGCATCTGTATGGGAGAATGGCAGTGTGAGGAGAGCTGCCGCAGAGCCTGGGGTCCCCACACTGAGAGACCTTGTGTCAGACAGAAGTAGTTGAGTTCAGTTCTCCTGCTTAGTGGTTATGTGATTTTGGGAAAGTCACTTGACCTCTCTGAAACTCCATCCAGAGTGTAGAAATAGCCACAGTAGTTACCTCCTTGGGCTGCTGAGGAGTGACCCAGGAGTGTTTGCTGACGGGTCTGGCCTGCTCTCCCTGTGGATGGATGAGCTGGGAGCATTGTGTACTTGCCAGACCTGGGGATCGAGTGACACTGGCAACTGGACGGAGCCCGGAGGGGTCTGCAGCCTGGCTGGTTGAGTGGGCTCCACCTTCACCTTCTCCCAGGTGTTTGGAGCAGAGGTCAGAGGTGGTGCCCTCTCTGCAGCTCTGGCTGTACCCTGTCCCACAGACCAGGGCTGATCCCAACTTTGCCACCTCCTGGCTGTCACCTCCATTCTCTTTCTCATGGACCGGCTGCCCTGGGACCTTCTCTGGGGCCTCAGCATCTTAGTGCACTCAAGCGCTCCCAGGCTTGTCTGACTCTGACCTCGTGGTGTGACTGGTTTGTGGTTCGGGGAGGGGTGCGTGGGGCCCATCAGTGCCCTGCTACGCCGTTCCCGCTTGGTGCCTGACAGCCACATGGCCTTAGTGCCCACCCATGGGGCCAAGTGGAGTTGGGATCTCCCGTCTACAGATGCTGCCCCAGAGCCAACAGGGCCATGGGGAGAGGCGGCTACCTGTGCGTCTGGGGCCTGGATGCTTGCCCCCAGCAGTGAGAACAGGGTTTGTCTGGCCATGGGAACAGTGCCGTGGGGTGTGGCCTGGGACTGCCCAGTGTGCGAGTGTGTTTGCCAACCAGGTGCTGTGCTGAGTGGGCTGAGGATGAGGACTCTTCTGAGTGCTCCCCACATGCTCTTATTTAAAGCTGAGGAAGGCAGGGGTGGCAGAGGTCCCCAGGCTGAGGTCAGCAGTGAGTGACCCCCCCGGAGGCTGACTCATGGGCCCCCTCCTAGCCACCTTTGGTGATGGGGAGGCCACAGGCCTAGCTTATGGGCAGTGAGAATAGGCACCTGAGGGAGAGTGTGAGTGTCAGGAGGGTGGTGGGTCCAGCTTTGGGTGTCCATCAGGCCCAGGCCCAGGCCCCAAGAGTGAAACTGCTGTGAACAAACAGCAAACCCCTGTACTCAGGGAGCTGGTGGTCTCATGGTGGGATGGCTTGTGCAGGCCCTAGCAAGCTGTTGTTGTGGTCACTAGTGTTAGGAGGTCAGGGGGAATGTGTGGGAGTCGAGTGGGGTTCTGGGGGGTGTATAGTTTTCTCAGGCGCAGGGAGGCCCTGGGAGATGCCCCCGAGGCATCAAAGCCAGGGCTTGGAGGAGGGTGTCCAGGTGGGCCCCAGGGTGAGCAAGGGCAAGGCTGGAGACGATATGGACTGACTCCTGGTGGCTGCCATGAGCACTGGCACCAGGGTGGGAGCAGGAAGGCCAGCATGGTGGCTTTCAGGCTGGTCTTTGTGGGTGATTTCAAGGACTCAGGCCAGGAGGGTAGAAGAAGGAGATGGATCCTGAATCCTGAATATTTTGGAAAGCAGAGCCCTTGGTGGGAGAAAGGGGGACTGAGGAAGAACCCAGGGTTCTTGTCTGGAGCAGCTGAGAGGAAGGAGGAAGGCGAGGAGCTGGCTAAGATGGAAGGGAGGACCAGGAGCTGGTTGTGGGTGATTCTGGGTATCCGCAACCATGGCTGGGCCGGGGTCGGAGGCGTGGAGGTGGCGGGTGGGGGGGTGGGGGCGGCGGCTACCAGGCCAGCACCACCATCAGCCCTGCCTTCCTGTCTGTTGCAGGAGCCGCCCAACCCTGAGCCAGTCTGGGGTCGAGCGGGGTGCCGCTGCCCCCACCTTCTGGATGACTGCATCCGGTCGCACAAACCCCTACAGCATCGTATCTTCAGAGGAGGACGGGCTGCACCTGGTGACCATGTCGGGCGCCAACGGCTTCGGCAATGGCAAGGTGCACACGCGGCGCCGGTGCCGGAATCGCTTCGTCAAGAAGAACGGCCAGTGCAACATCGAGTTCGCCAACATGGATGAGAAGTCGCAGCGCTACCTGGCGGACATGTTCACCACGTGCGTGGACATCCGCTGGCGCTACATGCTGCTCATCTTCTCGCTGGCCTTCCTCGCCTCCTGGTTGCTGTTCGGGGTCATCTTCTGGGTCATTGCGGTGGCCCACGGGGACCTGGAGCCCGCGGAGGCGCACGGGCGCACGCCGTGCGTGCTGCAGGTGCACGGCTTCATGGCGGCCTTCCTCTTCTCCATCGAGACGCAGACCACCATCGGCTACGGGCTGCGCTGCGTGACTGAGGAGTGCCCGGTGGCCGTGTTCATGGTGGTGGCGCAGTCCATCGTGGGCTGCATCATCGACTCCTTCATGATTGGCGCCATCATGGCCAAGATGGCGCGGCCCAAGAAGCGCGCACAGACGCTGCTCTTCAGCCACAATGCGGTGGTGGCGCTGCGTGACGGCAAGCTCTGCCTCATGTGGCGCGTGGGCAACCTACGCAAGAGCCACATCGTGGAGGCCCACGTGCGGGCCCAGCTCATCAAGCCCCGGGTCACGGAGGAGGGCGAGTACATCCCGCTGGACCAGATCGACATTGATGTCGGCTTTGACAAGGGCCTGGACCGCATCTTCCTGGTGTCTCCCATCACCATCCTGCACGAGATTGACGAGGCCAGCCCTCTGTTCGGCATCAGCCGGCAGGACCTGGAAACGGATGACTTCGAGATCGTGGTCATCCTGGAGGGCATGGTGGAGGCCACGGCCATGACCACGCAGGCCCGCAGCTCCTACCTGGCCAACGAGATCCTGTGGGGCCACCGCTTTGAGCCTGTCCTCTTTGAGGAGAAGAACCAGTACAAGATCGACTACTCGCATTTCCACAAGACATACGAGGTGCCATCCACGCCCCGCTGCAGTGCCAAGGACCTGGTGGAGAACAAGTTCCTGCTGCCAAGCACCAACTCCTTCTGTTACGAGAATGAGCTGGCCTTCCTGAGCCGTGACGAGGAGGACGAGGTGGACGGAGAGCAAGACAGCCTTGGCCCCCAGGCCAGGCGCGACTTTGACAGGCCGCAGGCCGGCACAGCCCTTGACCAGCGGCCTTACAGACGGGAGTCTGAGATCTGAGCTGCCGTCGGTCAGCCGAGGTGCAGCATCTGCCCCGCCAAGGAGAGGCCTGAGCCCCTCGAGGGCTCTGGGCCTGAGCAGGATGAGCTTGGGCCCTGGTTGCAGACTCAGTAGCGTTTTAGATGTTTTATGTTTCTTTACAACGCCTGTGAATGTTGGCGGGAGAGTGGGTGGTTTGTGCTGCCTCCGGGGCTGGGGCAGGCCCAGGGGTGGGGAGGTGGCCTCTGGGCACTGGTCTGCAGGAGCCAGGGCCCTTTGCCTGAGGAGGGAGCTGCAGGCTGTCCAGAGACAGCTGACCAGCCACCCGACCTCTGTGGGCGAAGGCCAGCAGGCAGTAGGGCGCCTCACTGGTTTTTACCTTGGGGAGAAACACCAGTTTTGGCTTTCTCAATCTTAGTTTGAGTAAGACTGTTTACAAAAAAAAAAATTAACATGTGATTGATTTTTATAATTTGTTGGGGGCGGAAAGAAGGACAGTTAGAATTCTGTCTGCTAGGGTGCAAGCAGCTGAGTGGAGTTTCCAGCAAGTTCCCAATGCTGGGCAGGCCTCTCTTCCGTGAAGATAGCGCATGTGCCTGATGGTGCAGCCTGCAGGGTAGACATGGGGCTCACCCCCATTCTTTATGCTCACAAAGTGAATTGGATTTCGTTTGTGATGGCAATACCGAGACCATGTTAATGATCCTAATGGAAGCTTTCCAGTGTTACTGGGGTGGGGGCAAGGGCCAGGAAGAGTCTGGGAAGAACTTCCAAGTTTGACTCTGTGCCTCCGGTGAGGCATGTCTCAGGGCCGGGATGGGACCTAACCCCCAGCCACCTCCCACCCTGACCTGCCGGGTTCTCCTGTTTCTCTCTTTCCTTTTCTGCCCAGCGGCCTCTACGCCTTCCCCAGAACTGTGGGGGTGGATGGCTCCATGGGAAGGAGAGCTGGGTTCCCCAACTCCAAGGAAGTGTTTCAGCCCCATCCCCACGGGGCCCCAGCATGAGTCGTGCCTTAGAGACCCTGGGAGTCTGGCTCCAATTGTCACTGTTTTTATTGGATTCACGCATCCTCTCCACAGCCCCCGACTCCACCATACTCCTCTGTCTGCAGAGGTTGGGCTGACCTGGCACCCCACCCTCCCAAGGCGAGCAGTGCAGGTGTGCCCGGGTGGGGCCCAGCCGGGCTGTGCCCTGATGCTGAATGCACAGGAGTGCCCTAGGAAGGGTGAGCTTGTCAGCACACACCTCTGGGTCGGGTAGAGGCTTGGGTTCCTTGTTTGTCACTGGCTTTTGGCTCTGCCAGCCCAAGAGCTGCCCAGCACAGGCTTGTTCTTAGAGAAAGCAGCTGGCAGGGGCCAGGTGTCAGGATGGAGTCTGGCTCTTTCCTGGGACTGCTGAGAGCATTGTGCTCACATATGATTGGGCTATTCAGTCATTAGAGAGCAGGCATCTCCCCAGCCCACCTGCCCAGGTGCTGTGGGACAACTCATGACCAGGAGGTGCTAGGACTCCGGCCCCTGCCCTCCTCCCACCCTGAGGTGGCTGGAGGCTTGCCCCAAGGTCAGGGGCCATGCGGGGTCCTGGCACCAACTGTCCATTCCCACCCAGACAGCCCTGCCCTGGCCTCAGATCGCACCCTAACTTTCAGTCAGGAATAGTCAAAAGGGTCAATCCGAGGCAGATGGAGGCGGCCCTTCCGCTCAAGATCTACTGGATGGGCCTCTCTCCTTCCCAGCCCTGAGCCCGGGCTTCTTCAGCCTTAGTCCTGGGGGCTGTGGAGTCCCCGCGGGACCCATGAGGGCAGCAGATGGCCCTGGTCGCTGGGGGCTGGCACATAGGCCTGCCGGGCCAGCCCTCACGCACCCCACCCAGGCCCCAGCTGTCTCGAGTGGCCTGGGGCACCTCCTCTCAGGCCTGTCCACCTCCCAGGCTCACGCTGGACGGCTCAGGCCACAGACTCTGCAGGGGGGCCACTCCGAGCTGCCTTTCATCTCTCACCAAAGGCAGATGCTGTGTTTTCAAACTCCACTATCTGCTTTTTGCCTCCTCTGTGTTTATTTATTTATTTATTGCTTGTGCTAAAGACCAAAATAGTCTTCCTCTTTAGTGCCCTTGAAGCAGGAGGGCAGATGGAGGAGCTGTGTGTGCAGAGGCAGGATCAGGTGGTCCCTGGGGTGTGTGTGCCTGTGTGTGGGGTATGGTGTGTGAACTCACTGCGTATTCAGTGCCATGTGCTGTGTGTGTGAGCACGTGTGTTGTGTGGGAGTCTGTGGGCACACATGTGTAGGTCGCATGTGGCCTGTGTGCTATACAGGTGGGTGTACAAACTTGCTCTGCCCCCGCCCCCTGGCAGTGGTATTTCCAGGAAGCTTCCTGGCAGCCTGGGCCTGGTGGTGCGGAGACTGGAGCTGCCCAAGGTGCCCTCTGCCCTGAGAAAGCAAGCTGCTTATGTGGAGAGGGGCCTGGAGCCAAGTGTGTGAGAGCCGAGGTGTGAATTCCCATGTTGAGTCATCTCATCCATGTGCCGGTGAGGTGTGTCCAGTGATGGCTTTTCCTGGAAGTGCTCGAGTCTGTTCATGGGAGTGTCCTGCAAATGTGTGCCCACGACCATCTCCACGTGTGTGTGAATCCGCGCAGGTGGTGTCTGTGGATGATGTTACATGTGTATTTACCCATGGGTCTGTTTGTATGTTTGTTGGTTAATATGTTTCCAGGCTATGGGGCTGGGCACACAGCACTGAGGACGGACGCCAGCTGTGGTCCCACCAGCCCTCTGCCTTGATTCTGTCCGCGTGGGCATGTAAGGAGCACGGGTGACAGGGTGAGACTTCTGTGCACGTTGGCACAAGGTGACAGCCACACAAGTGTGTGAGTGTGCCACCTCCAAAGGTGAGCATCTGTACACGACTGCATGTTAGGAGGCCCGGGTGCATCTGTCCACAAACACACATACATGCATGAGCCGGGCTCCGGCAGCAGAGCTGCACCTGCCTGCCGAGGGTGGCGTGTGTGTGTCTGCGGACCGCTCATGTCCGGTCAGGCCCAGGTGTGTTTCTCAGAACATGGTGCCCCTGCCTGCCATACCTGCTGGTGCTGTGCCACCCAGTCCCTGCCCCCAGAGGGTCCCAGTGGGGGCAGGGGACCTGATGGGAAGGAGGCCCCTGCAAAGGTCAAATCGACGTCAAATATATTTTAAATGGTGAAACGAGGAGAATTTTCATGTTATTTTCAACACACAGCAGTGTCTGGAGATGCAGGCCACGAGACTAGACCACACTACACTCATTTCAGCCTCCTGGAGCGGCACCGTGTGCAGACATGTGTTTAAAGGCCCTGCCTGGTATGGTGCACACTGCCCCTCGTGTTGCCCCCCACCCCCACCCAACACCCTGTGACCTGGGGGGCACTCCCCAGAGGCCGATGAGGGAGGACAGAGAGGACAGAAGCGGCCTCCTTACAGACCCCTGCGTGCTCCTCAGGCTGTGACCTGGCCCAAGTGTGCCAGACAGCCACCACAGCTGGGCCCTGGGCCCCCGCAGGGTCCTCCCCAGGCCTGTGCCTCCCTTTCCCTTTCTCCCGCAAGGGTTTGGCGAGGGCAGGGCTGATGTGTGCTGAGCCCCCAGAATGAGGCAGGCCTGGCTCCCACCGCTGTGGGGGAGCTGAGAGGGGTTGAAGTGGGGGCAGTGGGGCTACAGAGGGCAGGCACCTGCGGCTGCAGTGTGGACGCGCTGGTCTGTTCTGGGCTAAGAATATCGTCGCCTCGAGGGTCTCCGTTGGAAGAACCCCCCAAGGAAAGAATCCTTCCCTTTGCCCAAACTTTCCCTGAGTGGAGATCCCTTTGTGTCAGTGAAGATCCACGCGATGATTCCAGGCCGCTGGAGAGGAAGCCGGGTTGGGGGAAGGGGCTGTGGTGCCTGTGAAGTCTTCTTGGTCCATGTTCCCATGGGTTGGACCCAGAGGTGGCTGGCTTGATGAGGGGGGTGGGTGCTCTCCTCCTCTGGCCCTGAAGCTTTCCCTGGGGTCCCAATGCCAGAATCTAAGCCAGTTATGGCCTTCCCTGCCAACCCCCGACACCCCCACCCCCGAGAGTTCTCGCCAAAGCACCTCCAGGCTGGGCCTCCAGGCAGGAGGAGTCCCTCAGGCCAGTCCTGACTCAGTCCAACCCCAGGCCACACGCTTGCTCACCAGTCAAGAGTGGCTTCCTTACCCCTCTGGCCTCAATCTCCCCATTGGTGGAGAAGGGTGTTCCCAACAGCAGCCAGCTTGCAGATTTGTTGGAGAGTGAAGGAGAGGGCCTGTTAATTCAGCGAGAGCCTTGACATCGTGCCCTTGGGTTGGAACACAAGTCCTCAGACCTCCATCCGTGTGTAGCCGTGCCCACTAGCTGCCTCTACTCTTTCCCGCCTCCCAGAGGATGAAATGAGTCCACCTTGGAATCTTCCCTAAAACAGGTAAAAATGGGTTGAGGGGGCGGAGAAAATCTGAGATAAGGGGACAGGCTTACTGTCCTGGAGGTCAGTTCAGGGTCGTTGAGGGCATTGCCCAAGGGCAGCAGGAGGGTAGTTATCTGACCTGGGGTCACAGCTAGGCCTCAAGCCCCAGCGCCCCATGTGGGCCTCATGTCTGGTCATTGGACGCAGAGGCCACCGCCCTCCTAGTCAGGACCGACAGCCTGGTTAGAGGGTCTCCCCAAGTCCACCTTCTGTTGGGGGGGCCTGCGACTTGGGAGGAAGTTGAAAATGGGTTTCTCTTCAGTGCCAAGGAGTCGAGGTCACAGCAGTGTCACCAAAGGACACCCCCTTCCCCTCCCACAAGCCACTCTCCCCCAGGACCAGAGTGGTCCCCAAACCAGATGCCGGCCTTTCACCCACTGCCTGTGAGCCTTCCCTGGCTTCCTTCTGCACTGGGTCCTGTCCGTCCAACCTGCCTTCATCCTGCCCACCTCATCCCCCTCCTCTGCTCCAGGCACCCTGCCTTCCTTTAGTCCCTTGAAAGCACGTTTTTGTCCCCACTCCATG